CACATTATTAAAACTACATGAAGTGCATGATGATTGCTTAGGCTGCCAAGCAGCAAAATGTGTAATGATCTGATTATCTGATTCACTTGATTATGGTAGTTTATTTTTACATATAGTTCAGGCATAAAAGTGTACTTTGGAGCTTGAATTGCCTGAATTTTCTAGCTACCTTGATTTTATATAAATATACATGTAATGTTTACAACTATATACACACACATATGGAAATGTGTAAACACAGTGTCAAGGAAGCCAAGGCATGGCTTCCTTGGCTTCCTTCAGCCAAGGAAGCCAGAAAGTCACCTGTAGTTTAAAAAGTTTGGTTTGTTACTTGTTGCAGTGAGAGCGAACACACATCATAAGAATCAGGGGTGTCTCAGTAAGAGAAAGACCTTCCAGGATTTGGGCTTTGGTTGGATGATTTGAGGGAGGGTCTCAGGAAGCAGGGATTCACTCTAGATCGGATGCTATTAGAAAGCAGGAGAATTTTGGGATTGGGGATCTCAATGATTCTTATTTACCCAGAGTGGAGACTAGAGAGAGAATAAAGCTGTAATTGATAAAGACATAGCAGTCACTCATTTTGGTTGAGAGATGAAGTGTTTGGTATTTTGTTGGTGGTACAATGATTTTGTTTTTGTCAGTGCTTGGATAAAATTATGAAGTGCCCTTGCATTGTCTTATTTATCACGTTCTCAGAGTTGCCTTGTCCAAGATTGGTATTTTGCAAGATGGTTCATGTCTAATGGGAGAAGTACCAGCCAGCTTCAGGATGTCAAGGGGATGCTCTTTTCTCTTTCTCAATGGCTTCGGTCATTCTTATCCTATAACTAGGATAAGTTATAGGGTAGATCTCACACGTCTATATGTGCCTATGTGTTACACTGCCAAGTACAATTCAATTTTAAGTTGGGTTTGATAAGAACAGAAAGAAAATATTCTCCCCAGAAAGAACTATTCAGTGCTACTCATTGGCCCCCGTTCTAAGCAGTTGACCCTTTTGAGAGAGCTGACCCTTCTCATCTGATGGTTGAGGACCATGTTGCTTTTTCTATTGTCACTAGATGACTATTTGGTAACGGGAACATTTGGTAAAAGATAACAACCTCTTCTCCTGATAAAAATGATTACAAACATGGACTTTCATTTTTCTTTTGTTTTGAAAGAAGCATTCTTACAGGCTTTTAATAATCTGTAAGAGCAAAAAAATTCTTCCACTATCCTTAGGTACAATGTCTCTCTGCTCCGAACATCATTAAGCATTGCTTCAGGTTATTTGACACTGAATTATTCCCCCTGCCCCACCAAGTTCCTTTTTAAATATTTTTTTGGGGGGCTAGAAAATGAACATCTATTGTTTTTGGCATTTAGAAGAGTCTGTATGATTCCTAGAGATTTTAAGGTTGCTGTTTCCTTTCTCTTTGAAGAACAACCTGCTTGTCTCTTCGTATGCTAGTGTTACCAGTATAGGCTAGTATAAACACTAATTCATCGAATATTTGATGATATACTAGATGTAATCAATTTGTTCTTATCTATAAAATTAGGGAATACCACAAGCCACTGACTGTTACCATGACTGTCTCTCTATCCACATATTTATTCAAAAAATATTTGCAGAGCACATGCTATGTTCCCATGCTACTTTGTCCTAGGCATCCAGACCCTAGGAAGGGAGGGAAGGAAAGTGAAGAGCCCAATCTCTGGAGTTCTACAGCCTGGCTTGGAATTCCTACTCCGCCACTTGCTAGCTGTGCCATCACAGGAGTGACTTGATCTCTCTAAACTCTATGTTCTTCCTCTGTAAAATGCGAGTGATCACAATAACACTTACCCTTAGGGTTGTTGGAGGGCTGAAAGAGATCCTCCAAGTTAATTTCCTGGTGCAGTGCTCAGCATAATTAGTACTCAGCGAGAGTATTGTTCATTTTCCAAGGATATAATGGTGAATTACTAGACGCTGTCTTTCCCTCAAGAAGTCGACTGGCTCCACTACCTGCTGAGATACATAGGAACACTGGAGGCATCTCACTTATTTTGGGGGAAGGTTTTAAGAGGCAGGAAAAGGAGTTAGGGAGAAGGGATTGCCCAAGTGAGACCTGATGGGTGAGTAAGAATTGTCCTGGCCCTGGCGGTGGTGGAGGGTGAGGGAGAAGGGAGAGGAATGAGGCTGTGGCGAGCAGGGCAGCCTTAGCATCGAGAACATAGCAGCAAGTGCTGGACGGGACAGAAGGCAGAACCTCAGGCAGTTCCCTGTGCCCATGCTGTGGGTGGGTGGGGAGGGAGGGAGGCGGTGGGAACCGCAGCAGGAGGGTCGAGGACCAGATCTGAAGGGTTGTGTGTTCAAAGCTTAGTACCTTGGACTTTACCTTGAAGACAATAGTGGTCAAGAGTCAGTCCCCACACCATTACGGGCTCCTCTTTTAAGAAGGTATTTATATAATCAAAAAAAAAAAAAAAGGAAATTGTTTAGAGAAGGCGCAGAGAGTTAATTGTACCGTCATTAGCAGGACACAGGACGTAGTATAGGTTACCACGTGAGCCTGGCCCCTCTCTTGTTTGATTTCTCCTGCCTCTCATTCCTTATCCATCCCTTTTCTCAGTGCTCTCCATTTTAAGGACATCCTTTTTTATGTGCTTGATACATGGCCTTAAATATGTATGTGTCCTTGTAAAATATACAGTGTTGTTTTATGTGTGTTTTTAGCTTACCTACATGGTATTTTGCTAAAAATCATTTCCTACTCTAATTTTTTTCTTTCTATACAAAGTATCTATGTTGCTATATGTACATCTAGTTCATTGCTTCAAATTGCTGCATACATTGTCCATACAGAGTATACAATGTAGCATTATTTATAGTAACAGTTTGAAATAGCCTAAATATTGCACACTAGGGAATGGTTAAGAAACCCTCGTACATCAGTAGTGTGAAATAACACCCCTCCATTAACAATGAAAGCTCTGGACATAATGGTAGACATGTTTATGACAATGTTAAATGAGAAAAGCATATAAAAACTACAAAAAATGCATATTTACACAAAGACTGGAAAGGATCAGAGAAAAATAAAAACAGCTATGTATGGCAGAGCAAAGGAACTGTGGGTAACATTTCTCATGTACAATAGTCTTTCCTTATCAGAGGTTTCACTTTCTGAGGTTTCAGTCACCCACGGTCAACCACGGTCCAAAAATATTAAATGTAAAATTCCAGAAATAAACAATTCATGAATTTTAGATTGTGCACTGTTCTGAGGAGTATGATGAAATCTCCTGCGGTCCTGCTCCATCCCACTCGGGACACAAATCATCTCTTTGGCAGATCTACTCTGTCAATTCTACCCACCCTTGAGTACCTAGTAGCCAGCAGTGTTTGCCTTCAAGTCACCCTTATTTTACTTCATAATGGCACAAAGGGCAAGAGTGGTGATGCTGGCATATTGTTATAATTGTTCTATTTTATTGTTAGGTGTTAATCTCTTATTGTGCCTAATTTATAAATTAAACTTTATCATGGGTATGAATGTATAGGAAAAAACATAGTATATATAAGGTTAGGTATATCCGAGGTTTCAGACATCCACTGGGAGTCTTGCAACATATCCCCAGATGACAAAGAGGGACTATGCCATGCATGGGGTATTTGGCCTATACACCATAGCATTCCCTACAGCAGTCCTGGGAATGGGGTGATCAGAGCAGACCAATCTGCTGCTGCCTGCCCCAACATCGGCATGGGTGCCTCTCAGCCAGAAAGGCCTCCTCTACACCAGGTGTGTCCTGCAGTCAACTTCAGTGTGGTTTTCTCACTCCATGGGAAACAGGTTTGAAGTTAAGTCTTTTCAGAAGGCTGAGATGGATTTTGTGCTGCTGAATTTAACTCTATTCAAGAAAAATGGTGAACTAATACCTTTTGTAACGACCTGGATGAAACTGGAGACCATCCTTTTAAGTGAAGTATCACAAGAATGGAAGAACAAAAACCATATGTACTCACTACTAAATTGAAACTTATAGATCAACATTCATGTGTACATATGGTAGTAAAATTGAATGGAAATCAAACAGGTGGGAGGAGGGAGTAGGGGATGGGTAAATTCACACCTAACGGGTACAATGCAAACTATATGGGTGATGGACATATTTATAACTTTGATTTAAATTGTACAAAAACAATTCATATAACCAAAATGTTTGTACCCCCATAATATGCTGAAATTTAAAAAAAAGAAAAACAAGAAAAGCAAAGTGCATAAGAATTATATATATCATTCTTCCATTTGTGCAAAAAATAAGACACATGAACTTGTATTTGCATGGAAAAATCCTGGAAGAATAGACAAGAAAAGTTAACAATAATTGCCCCAGGGGAGGTGGATTGGGGACCTGGGATAGGAGAGAGACATACTTTTCTTTAAAGTATAACAGGAATATTTATTTTCTTCTTCTTTTTAAAAAACATATACCAAGCATTACTTTTTCAATTAAAATGTTATTTTTAAATAAGTTTAAATCCCAAAATTTCATGACCCTAACTTTTTAAACATCATTTTTTAAATGTCTTAATTTTTAATTCATTACAAAGAGTTCTCCAAAATAACAAATTCATATTGCGAGCCCCACATTGTGCACCTCCTTTTAATGAGGGCTAACTCCCATTTGAGGACCGCTGACAGGCGTTACGAGTCACAACACGCACACATTCTGACATGAATTGCAACGCAGAAAGCAACTGATGATCAAGATACTTTCACAAAGAATTAAGCACCACGCCTAAGAGTTACTTTAGGATTCGGATACGACTTGCTGCAGGCGAGTCCCCCAGTCCTTGGAGTGTGGCAGGCATCACCCGTCCTCCGGACCCACATCCCGCAGACCCAGGCCTCGCTGGGTCTCCCACGGGGAGTCCCACGGCCGCGCCACCACCTCGAGGGAGGGTCACCAGGTGCTGTGACCGAGCGCCAGGGCCGCGGCGACCCCGCCCCGCGCGCCGCGTCACTCGGCGCCCTCCGGCGCGCGGTGAGCACCTACCACCGGCCGGGCAGCCAGGGGAGAGGCCGCGGCCCCTTGCCCCTGCCGGCGGGCTGTGAGCCGGTACTCCGGGCGCCTTGGCCTGGCGCTAAATTTAAAAACGTAACACGAGCAGTAGGCTGGTCCCAGAAAGGAAACGAAACTCGTCCTGTGGGCCGCCTCCCGGGCTCTGCCGGTCCCTTAGCGCGCCGCGCCACCCGGAATAGACCCTTCTCCCGCCATTTTCGCGCGGCTCGGAGGCTGAGGCCTGCGGCTGCCCGGCCTGCGGCGCCGCGTGTGCCCCGGAGAGGCGGGCGGTATGGCCGCGGGCGTGGACTGCGGGGACGGGGTTCGTGCCCGGCAGCTCGTGTTCCTGCTTCCAGGTAAACACGCGCGCCCCCGCGGCGCGCCGAGCCCGGCCTCCTGCCCCGCGCGGCCGGCCCGAGAGCGCGCAGAGCGGCCCCGGGCGCCCGCACCCCAGCGGCTCCCACTCCCCGCCCCGGGAGCGAGACTGGATTCTGTCCAGGGCACTGTGCTCCGCATCTTGGGCACACGTCATGGCCAGCCGCGGTTTTCAAACCCGGAAGCGCAGAATAGGACCAAGCGTGTTTCCCCCACCCTGATCCCCTGTGGACCGGGTGGGCGGGCGGCAGCCGACCCTGCCTGCGGAGAGCCACGCTGGTTCCGGGTCTTGGGTGTGCTGCGGGCTCCGGGGGCTTCTGTCTTTGGGCGTAACTTAGCGTCCCCCATTCGGCAGCTTGCTCTGCTTCTGCGAACCTTCTGGGTCGGAACCAGGGATCCTGTAGGCCCGGAGTGGCCTCAGGGACGGTGCGCTGTCCTAACACGGCCGCTGCCTGCACAGGCCAGCGATGGTGAGGCAGGAGGAAAGCTGGGTGGTGGCCCGGTTAGGCCAATGGTGATTCAAAGCCACTGGGGTGGGAGATAATGACCACAGGAGGGAGCCAGGCCTTTCAGCCTCCCTGTGGATGGTGACGGGCTGTTCAGGGCATGCAGGATCTTGGGATAACAACCAGACAGCCGGTGCCATACAAGCAGGGACCCATTAAGTGGCAGAATAAAAGGAATTGGGCTAGGGAGTGCAAGTGGCAGAATAAAAGGAATTGGGCTAGGGAGTGCAAGCCACATGGCCATTTTATGGATGATACATTTGACGGTATACATTGGAAAGAAGAAAAAAAATCCCCTGTTCACTGTGTTTAATTTTGAGATACAGCTCAGCTAATGCTGAGTATTTTTGCATTAAATATACTCTACTACTGATAGTTTCCCAGGAATCTAGATTTTTATGGTGGATATCGAAAATTTTTCATAACAGTCTGTCAACAGTTTTTTGCCTGTATGTTTAACTCCTCCCCTTTAGAAACAGGTAATTCACTGAACTTTTCGTATATATACACACCAGTAACCATCCCTCAAGTCAAGCAGCATCTCCTCGTGCCTGCTCCTAGATATCGTCAGTAACCTTTATGTTGACCTCTGTCACCAGAGATTAGTTCTCCTGTTTGAGTAAGAGTGTACCCCTTTGTGTCTGGTTTCTTTCACTCCATGAAAGATTCATCCATGAAGTCTGTGAGATTCACCCATGTTGTGTGTAGTAGTGGTTTGGTTTGTTGGTTGGTTGGTTTTTTCATTACTGCTTCTATTTCATTGTGTGAATATCCATATTTATCTCTTCTACTGTGGATGGACATTTGGATTGTTTCCAGTTTGCAAATATTATGAATTATACTTCTAAGGACAATCTTTTATGAGGCTTTTGGTAGACACGGGCACTCATTTCTCGAGGGTATATATCCAAGAGTGGAATGCCTGGTCCTAGGTGCTCACTGTGTATGTTTAGTTTTAGTAGACGCTGCTAAATGGTTTTGCACAGTGGTTGTATGGCAGTTTCCGTTGCTGCACATGCTCACTATAGATGTTTGGATGGTAAAACAGCTAATGCAAAATTCAGGGTTTTGGCAGAATCCAGGAAGGGGCTATCTATATACGTGCTTTTCGTTAGATAAATCCTCCTTTCTTCTCACTTTTGTCATTTTAATCAATACAATTCTATTTTCGGAGTAGGACCTCTAATCATTCTTTCGGAATCAAGTGCATTATTGTTACTTAGATATACACACTAGCTGATGATAATTTGAGTTTTATTTATTTTGGTGTTCTGTTTAATCAAATTGACATCCTCATTCTTAAACTGTGTTTTTATCCTCATTGTATTAAACACAAAACCTTCAAAAGAATTAAATATTGATTGCATCCCTGAAAATTGTAGGTTTAATATATCTACTGCTCGGTTGTGAGAAGAATTTCAGTCCAATTCCTGTTTAACACATTGGGGGAGGCAGAGCAACGGTTAAGGAACTGATAGTACTGTGTGGTCAGGCAGGCAAGTTCTGTAACAGTTAACACATGGACTGCCACACTAGAAAAAAAATTTTTTTCCTTGGGCTCACATGGTGTTTTATTATGAAAATAGAATAAAAACTTTAAAAACAAAACCATCCTTTCTCATTTAATGAAAAATTTATTATTTTTTATTGTTTTTCTGTGCGTGAGTTATATGCAACTTGAAAAATAGTTCAAATGGCTCCCTCAAGGTAAAGAGACGTGTGTTACATATGCCTCACGAGGCCCTGGGCTCAAAACTAGCTTGAGTTAAATGCAACTCACATGGCAGTTAATGTGTTAAAACTTGAGCCACTTGTTTCCAGCCGGCCTTTAGTGCCACCTGCAGGCTCTGAGGGTACAAACACGGTTTGATAGCTAGTGCAGTGCAGTAGTGGTTCTCAAACTTGAGGGCATCAGTCACCTGGGGAGCTCCCCCAC